AGGGTAGTTACAGGGCATACTTTCATCACAAAACAACTTTATAACGAGACATATGTGTTCCTTGTCTATAGCAAAGGACAATGCGAATACTCAATGTCTGCATGTTGTAAATTACAGAACAAAAGTAAATAGTTTTATATTGTTTGGGATTTGGAACCGTGTAATGATGATCACAACGCTATGGTATACTCTTCATCGAAACTGACCTCAAAGTATTTTGTGGGATGTTCGCGTTTGCACCGAATGCATCGATGCATCGCGAATTTAGACCTGACGATACGTGGACTTGGGTTACCCAGACGCAAATCGGTAGGGCGGGATTAGAAGGGGTGATCATGTCCTGGCTAAGCAGAGGCGATCCTGTCCTGGATAAGCATGGGTTATCCTGTCCTATGTGATCCTGTCCTGGGTAAGCATGGGTGATCCTGTCCTGGGTAAGCATGCGTGATTCTGTCCTAGGTGATCCTGTCCTGGGTAAGCATGGGTGATCCTGTCCTTGGTAAGCATGAGTGATCCTGTCCTAGGTGATCCTGTCCTGGGTAAGCATCGGTGAGCATGTCCTTCGAAGGCATGTGAGCAGAACATGGGTTCACATTCACAAAAACTGGTTCATAGTAACAGCATGTTGTTAGTCGGGACACATCGAACATGGAGAATTCCACGCAAAAATGGCGCAATGAGTATCACAATACATATCACATCGTGACTCATTAGTAATATGTATTCATACCTGAGGTAAGTGTATCGTAAGTGTATCGGTAGGGTGTATTCAGGATAAACCGAAGTCAAACCCAGTGTAATTCCGTATAGTGCTTTCTGGCGGACAAGATCGTTAATTATCAAAGGTCTGGTCGACGGTTCGATATATTCGACTTCGTCATATCAGGAATGACACTAAATTATCATAAAACAATGACTTCTGAGAAATAATTATGTAGATGAGTAATACTGAGGGTACTAAATTTGGCATGACACTGTATTAAAGACAGATTTAAACATATTATGGGCAAAGTTAGAAACGTGTCTTAATTCGAGATAGACATCAAACTTCGACATAACCGAATTTTGGATATTCAGCAGATCTTTCTCCAAAAATCCAGAAAAAAAACATGTTTTAAACATTAACATTATTTTTCACGAACTATATATAACACACTCGCTGATAACCCTTCTCTCGCAGTGACGAGTACAACAGATAGCCGTTATAATGCCCCACAGACCAGATTCATCGCATAACTCGCTCAAACGAGATGTCAGGCCGTCTTAACCAAACGGTACTTATTCAACCATATGTTCTTCCTCTCGAGCAAATAATAATGAATACAGATTAGAATACTACCACCTAATACAACGTGCATAGTCCGTGTCAAAAACGGAAAGCAGTTTAACAGACACGCTGTATTGACTGGGATGGTATATGATCTCTATGTCACACCAGCCTAGTGACACTAAATGGGCATTCGCGTTCAGCTGTGATATTTGGGTAAATGTTCACCTGAAAAGGCAAACAATGGTGTGGGAAGTTTGGCACGCTTAGCAGAGCCAGGGGTGTTGTGTATTGATTACAGGTGAATACACAGAAAAAGGTAAATAAGACAGGGGTAAACGTTGAGGACACGAAGGGGACATGGGAGTCACATGAGTGAATGTGAAGTGATGTTGAACGCCGTTTGGTTCGCACACTGCGCATTGGGATTCGAACTCGGGCATTTTGTATGACGAACGAACATTTTAACTTAGGGAAATGAAAGTGGAATCAATTATTAGAAGCAAGGAATATGCTGTTTTCTAGGACAACCATGTGTAAACACAATAAGTATACATAGTGAAATCTCTCTTGTCCGGACCCCGCTAATCGGGACAATCACTTTTGGGAACGTCTACTTATATACAAAGAAACACCTTCCAATACCCATGACACCTGCTAATCCGTAATGTTTCACTAAAGCGTGCCATCCGGATTAACAGGGTTTTATTGTACCATGCTTTAACTATATATTTTTTCTATTTTCATCTGCCATTTGCATGGTCTGGAACTAATTTTGTTACTCAGACCCTGTGATTTGAAGACAACTGTGCATGAGCCAAACACGGAATTATTGAACACTGGAGCTGAACATTTTGTCATTGACAGAAATGATATTAAATGCTTCTCGGATCCAATTGTCTGCAAATATGTAGATTTCGTGCAGCGGATAACGATATTCAACCCTCATCATGGCAATTACTCCAGGAATGGACTTCACACATTGGAATCGAACTCGAGTCTTCGGCGTGACGAGCGAACGCTTTAACCACTAAGCTAACGCGCCGCCTCTCTACCTAAGCGAACACGCAGCGGGGCGTCGGGGCGAACCTGCTTATACGCGTATGTAAGGTTTAACACGGGGCGCGTTTTAACTTAGACATATGAAAAGTTCAATTTATCCAACTTGGAGACAGCCAAAGCCCAGTAAAGATATATTTAACAAGTTACAGTTTACACATTGTTGCAGGGGTGACGTCATGTGTCTTTAGTATAAAACATTGGCAATCTGAACTCATCTTTATGATCAACTTGAAACGAAAACCCTCACACTTGTCTTCTTCAGTTCAATTTACCGCGAGACCTGGATATAGATAATAATTATTCACACGGACTACCAAACATCCGGCTGATATGAACTTGAACTTTGACTGATAACTGTTATCATATCTAAGGCTAGCAGATAACACTTGACACCATTGACCTATAGAGATGATATTTTCCTAAAAACATGTCTTCATATGTTTCCATTTAAACAAGCATCCCGTCAAGGCGTCAATGGTATTTATTCACAGACATATACACCCTGCCTCTACACTCTCTTAAACATAAAAACAGTGATTTAATCATCGGCGTTTCTTAACAAGCTTTTAGTTCGGCTAAAAATCTTACGCCCTTTTCGTCAATGGACGCAGTGCTTTTGTAAATACCGCCCAGGCGGGCATGATATGAACGGCAATAACGCAATTCTTAGCGTGGTTTGTATGAATAAATAATGTTCAAAGAGTCATGGACGGCCACTGTCAGACTTCTAATAACACGTAAGGGGAACGGCAACATGATTTATGTATGATACTATCACCAACAATTGCGTCTCTCGGACGGTTTGTATGTTTAATGTTGTGTGCATTCACAGGCGTATCAAGTCGTGTATGCCTGGTGGGATCCCCCGTTTGTAATTCTGGGAATGATATTACTGAACTGTTTTCTTCCCGAGAAGGGGCAATATGTTGCTGCAAGTAATACGCCAACTGGCGACTTTGTGATATACTGGTCGTTACAAATAAAGGTACACGTGCAAATATGGAAGAGCGTTAAGGCTACGGATGTTTTATATACCATCATACCATCACCACCAAATAATAACCTGCGTTTTAAAAACAAAATAATTCTAAAAATCATCTTCGAGGTAGTGATGTTATATCGAACAAGTGCGTTTTTTTAGTTGAGCAATAGATTGAAAACATAACTTTTAGTACTCGGATAGATAGTCTAACCATGCGAATAGTGTAAACATGATACTTGTGACTTAGAACACATGTTTTACGGCCAGTGGATGAATTGTTAAACGTCTACTCAGCCACTTTGAAGCTGTGCTGGAGTTATGTAGTGTAATAATATCATAACTCGAGAGTATCTCTTCCTGGTCACTACCTCCAACTAAATAACATGTATTCGACCTGGTTTCCTGTCGAAGTTCTTACAGTCTCGGCTATAGATTACATACTCAAATTAATACAGTTATGTCGAAAAAGACTGATATGTCGAACACGCTTATCTCGAAAAAATCTAACTTTCAGCTACTTCGTGGTAACTAGATATGAATGTGCCTTATCAGTGAAATAGATCTAGGGGATCGCTAGAATGTCTTAGACTGCAAACACTAAATACTTCCTGACAGGTTATCATGCTGTAAGAATACAATATTTCTAAAAGTCCAACAACAGTACTCTTTATGACTAGTCTTATCTACTGTTATTGTATAAATACTTATATAAGTTAATTTACAGTCGAATCTCCCGACATATAGTAATAATTTACCTATAATGTGTATACTGTTTGTAACCGATTATATATGTGTGGGCGTAATGGATGCTAAATGCCATCAACTCAAATCATAAGATGCTGCATACATGTATATCATGTGTTTACTGTTACAGGCGAAATACACGAATTTAGACTGTGGTTCACGGGCTTCTATAATAACTTACATGTGCGCGCGCGCGAAATATACACATGACATAATCTTTGTGGCCAATGTGATATATATAGGTTCACTGTTACAAACGACATACCCATGCAATGTATTGTTTGTGGTTCACGTGCTTAAACGAAACGTATTATATACAGGTTCTCCGTTACAAACGAAATACACATGCAATATATTGTTTGTGGTTCACGTGCTTAAACGAAACATGTTATATATAGGTTCACCGTTACAAACGACATACCCATGCAATATATTGTTTGTGGTTCACGTGCTTAAACGAAACGTGTTATATATAGGTTCACGGTTACATACGAAATACCCATGCAATATATCGTTTGTTGTTCACGTGCTTAAATGAAACGAAATATATATGGGTTCACTGTTACAAACGAAATACACATGCAATTCATTGTTTGTGGCACAAGTGCTTACAAGAAACTTGTTATATATAGGTTTACTGTTACAAGCGAAATACACATGACATACTGTTTGTCGTGCACGCGCTTCTAAATGATAGCAGTGTGTTGGAGATCAACCGTTAAAACTGATCTGCATTATAGCTGAGAAAACATACACACACAAACTTCATGCGTGAATCATGAGCTACATACAGGAAGGTCTAACTACGACGACGTTCCTGCATTAAACGCCATAGTTACAACCACGTGTGTTTCTATCAAGGCTCCCATCGTGGCTATGAGTAAGCACATGTGGCTAAACTTTCAGTCCATAGCTGGGTCTGTCGATACTGCATTATGTACTCACATGGCGTCACAGTCCGTGGATAAAGCGCTGTTAATCTCCATATTTAACTCCGTGCACAGGTACGTACTCCACAACAACTTCCCACTTCCTGCATCCGGGCACTAGAGTGACGTAATCCACGTGCAGGGCACAAGCACACGCGCACACACCTTCCTCTCTCACCACTGAGATTGTGAGCGCGGCTGGCTGGCTGGAGCGCCGTGTATTACACAGAGCGGATCTCTCTCACCTGTGCCGCTTGCATCGAGTAGATTAGCTGCGTTCACTGCTCAGGTAATCACAGACCGCGTGACGCTCATTGACTGCGGCATGTCAATGATTGACGGACAGGTTCGCCGGGTAATTCAGACAGACGGGACGATAAACAATGCTTGTCCGTATAAGAGCACATAAAAGGCTTGTAATGAACTGGTGTTGTCTCTTTACTCGCCGATATGAAATACTTCCTTGTTATATATATACAGAGCCAAGTCATCCGTCACTGAATGGTGTGGGGTATGATTTCTCACAGGTGTAGCCAACATCGGAATAATCAATTCCCCGTCCAATTCAATATTGCCACTCACTACCCTGCAAAGGGTAGTATTTTTAGCTGTGAAGGAAAAAAAACGTCCCAGCTCTGAGGCATTCATTTGTTTTGGAAAGGTCAGGTTGAGTTATTATTGGTAAGGTCAGAATAAATAAGCAGTAAATAAGTCCAATTAGGCACACTGAGATATGCAATCCAGCGACGAATATTAACACAGCGCTAAATGTGTATCGGGGAATTATCCATAATGCCAGCAAACAAGGGATATTGAACTCAGCATTACAAGAGAGAGATTTCACTCGAAGAATTACTCCCATGTAACTGATGAAAATGGTTAGCCATGATATGGCTAATGGTCTTGTTCGCATGTTCCGCTGGTCCATAAAACTCGCCTGCAGCCAGGAGAGCCCAGTCCTGTGATGTGTCTAACACTCTTGGATGATAGAATTCACGTTTCAGACAAAAAACAGACAAACAATCGCATGACGAGTAGGATCAGTTTTAAAGGAACCGGACAAGTTCTATTCATTCATCTGGAAGCGGGATTGCCCTGAGAGCGGATGTGAGACAGCTCTGGGTACTCAAAGGTGGCGCTGACATCATTCAGATATCTCTCATGTCTGTTTTGATATTTATGGCCAGTAAGTGTTTTATCAAGCTTACACTACAGTCCTCGTAAATAACGAAACTGGGATCCACATATCAATGCTTGTGAAGTAGTAGGCTAGAATAATATGACCCATTTCGGTGCACAGCAATCTCAACAGTACAGTACATTAAAAATCTATCATTTAATAAAATCCAGTCACCATCAATCCTTGCCCGATAGTCAAAAACAATTCCTTGTCTGAGGAAATGATTCACCCTGTTTGTGATAGCCTTCTTATACACCAGACCTTTGTGGTTTTGTCGGTCTAAACTCGTGCCAGAAATATGTAACTTTAAAAAAAATTTCTTTTAGTTATAGCGAGGGGGGGGGGGGGGGGATGTCAGTTACAGAATTATTACCCTAGTTTAGACCGACGTATTGATAAAACCACGGAAGAAACATTTAAAAAGGTACATAGTTACACTTTCGTGAACTGGGCAAAACAACATAATAACGTTCGTTTTATCTTTACAAAACACAATTCTTAAAAGACCTTACATATTTTGGTAATGAATATAAACATGTCAGATTTTCGTTATTACAGGCATATCCATTTCTGTCCCTGGCCCTCCAGATTGTTGATTACACATGCACTTATAATGATGTACGATTTAAGTGCCTACGTTGCGCCCTAAGTGTCTCAGAATGTGGCAAAGTAGCGTTAAATTAGCCATAGCCTGCTTGGTAAAAGCTTAAAACTAGAGAATATAAATCACATTTGATAACTCAGTTACCGTCAACGATCATCGTTTCGTCCATTTCCCTTCACTTACGTCAGCATAACAAAATATATATACTGTAACACTTCAAAATCGCAGCGTCTGATGTCTGTACATACCAGTGAACAATTAAACGGTTGTTTCGTGCTAAAAGAATAGGGTTTAAACTTTTGGACTTTTTAAGAATGCGAGACTCACGTTCACATGTAACCAGTGTACCATGGAACCTTTATAAACAATTCGATTTCGGCTAAATAATCTATGCACATAAACAGTAGCCTAAGTCCGGCATTACCATTCACTTTGTTAAAACCGATTTCGTTATATCCCAAGTTGTCTGTAATGTCATATTTGTTAACGTATCAAGCATATTCACTCTATATACAAAGATGTGATTGCTTGTAGGATGGAACCATTCTTCCCTTGACCCCAACCACATATCCACCTAGGATTAAACAACTGCACACATCCTCCATTTACATATTCCTGGAGCAGTCTCTCCTTTGTGCGGCCTTTCAGATTATATCATCGAACCTAGACTATGCGGTGGTTGCTCATGGTATCAGTCTCTGGTTTGTCTTATCTAAAGTCGATAATTTATAGACCGATGCAATAATATTGCGGTGTAATACAATCTGTACACATTAGATTAAGTATGTGGGGTTTTTTTAGCTAGCGCTTACGAAATGCAAAAGTACACAACAGCTATATACTAGACATCTGTTATTTATTTATGTATAACCAGTTTATCATAGCTGTTGATAAAACGACACGAAGTCATTCTGGATCATTGCATCCATCTGGTTACCTAGGCAACCGTAACAAAAATAAAATACACAAAGCATTCAGGTAACGACGGTTATGCCACTAAGAAAAACACACACGCGAATCACATGTAAAAAAACAAGGTCAAATGCAAGAAACCGAGAACTGCGCATCTTAAAGCGCGCACTCCAGAACGCAAAGTGAGAATGAGATTTTCACGAGTATTCAGATTTAGGGCTCGTGCGTGTTATAGACGTCGCCCTGGACTATATTTCCACTGTCAATGAAAAACGCCAACGTTTTATGGCTGTTTAAAAGAGACACTTTCATAGCTGGATCGCGATCTAAAAATAACTCTGTCGTAATCTTTAATTTGAACTTAAAATCCCATCGGGAAACCTAATACCCTGGACAAGAAGAGTGGCACGTGGACTCGATGCGCGGAATTGATTCACTGCACAATAAAATGCCTCAGGCGCTGAGGGGAATATGTTGAATCCAATCATGATTATGTTATATATGTATATTTCATGATCTCGTCTTGCGCACGCTTGTGCACAACAGAGAACCATCCATTTTATGTGTAATTTGTTTTTTAGACTAGTGATTTTTATGTCAAGAATTATTCGATCCCGTTATTTTGCAACAGTTGAATTACAATCAATTGCAATTTTGTAAATTTGAAATTCTGTTAAATCTACAATTCAAGATCATATATTAATATAATCATTAACAGATAATATATTAATACATTTGCATAGTTTGCTCCTTGATATTGATATCATGGTAAACGTCTGAGACCTGCATCACTTCGGGCTTTCCTCCCACATCAGACTGAACCGCCGTGATAATAGCATTAACATGTTAAAAGCGGCGTAAAATCCAACTCACTCACCTTTTCTATCATACAGTGAGTGAGTGAGTGAGTATGGTTTTACGCCGCTTTTAGCAATATTCCAGCAATATCACGGCGGGGGACACCAGAAATGGGCTTCACACATTGTACTCTATCATACAGAATACTTATGATTTAATCAGATTTTAAAAAAAAAACGGTTCTTTATAATGAACGACCTGACAACAGACTAAAACAAGTCATATCCAATAACTTATATTAACTTTTTGGATGTTTTAATCAACTGAATTGATTTTCCCGGGAGTTTTAGGACTTAGTAATCAAGAACACAGACTGACACGTCATTTTCACTTAAATACATTGTTTCTTTTTTGTGCAGCTTTACAATATTTTTAATTCCACAACACGCTTCATAACCAAGCTGCTTTTAGCTGATTTAAGACCCAGTTATTTTATCAAACATACCGTTACCCGCAACAACTGTCACGTGACGTCCAAAGGGACCAATTATAATCGATCACGTGTTTTCAAACTCGCATCTGGAATCAAATCAGGTAACATTGTCTGCTGGATCAGCATGATTGATCGACCGAACTTGGTTCCATTCAGCTCGCCGAATCTGTGACTTCCCCACTGAGTGTCCTTATAAATCGAATAAACATTCAATGTATTCTTTTTAGCGTGTGGAAATCATCAACGATTACGACACGCACCACGATTGATGAGTTCTAACGAAATTGTCCATATTGCAACTGGTGCAGAGAGGATTACTGCGAGTTAGTGCCATCGAGGGATGGATCACTCAGTTCGGCGCCGACATAAGAAATAGGACCATTTAATCACCAGACACACATGACTGTGCTCCAGGTGATAGCTCTGTTGTATGGAAAAGTATCATCTTTGGTGAAAAAGGGTTTTGTGATTGACATACACACCGACAGTTATTGGCAGACAGTTACTGGCAGGTAGAGGCATGTAAGAACATAGATGACGATGGTTAGCAGATTAATGAAGGGAAGGATTGCAGATGCTTTGTTTGTGGGTTGTTTTACGGGGATGTATGATCAACGTTCCACGGCCTTGGAGAACGAGGAAACTCACCGCTCGAGTCGGATAGATAAACAGATACATATATATTGCTTGGATCCATATGGATGAATGGGTGGATGGATGAATGGATGGAAGGATAGGTGGAGCTGGATGGATAGATGGATGTAGACAGACAGACAGACAGACAGGCAGGCAGGCAGGCAGGCAGATAGATATTGCTGGGGTCCATAATCACCGATAGACACATACATCAGATCTTATCTATTTAGAGACATCCGACTGAGCTGAAACCTTAAATGGTTTGAATCTGATATTTCTCAATGAACAATTTACATTATCGGGTTCAGTAAAACAGTGTATATTAATACATAATCAATACCCGTGACTCGTACATTCGACACATATCCCCAGCAATTACGACAATCACGCTATTCAAGTATAGCCATTATCTCTTCGTGGTGGCCTTTGTTCTAACATAGCTTCCATTGCACTGATTGAGGTGACGTACAGTAACTCATCTAAACGTAATTTGGGATATTAGCATTTCTACATATGACTCAAATATGCAACACTAACTACCAGTGATTTCATAATCGTGACGGCAGAGGCAACGACGGCATGTCGGAGTTTAGTGCGTAGCGTTTAAAGCCGCGAATAGCATTGACGTAGCAACGGAGTGGCTGGGATATCGACAATGCCCTGTCTCTTCTACAACGTATGAAACTATCGCGGTCGTCACATTTTGCCTACTTGTATGTGACCATTAATAAATACAGGTCTTTCTCACGTGCAGCTTCTTTTCAAATTGACATGGGCAACAGGTGCCTTTTTCTGAACTCGAACATTTTAGCAACAATGGCGGCACAGTTTTGCCAAGGGGAGATCACTCTCCCGTTAAAAGCCGGACA